AATTTACTCACAGTGGGTAGACCTTAGTACTAGCTAGTATGGAGACTTGTGGATGCTGTATTTCACTTAAAAATTTAGCAATTAACAAACAAAAATTTTAGACACATTGCATTGAACAAATTAAATTATTTTACCCAACCAAAGTGTTCACTGAAAAAAAACGAAAAGACATTATGTTGTTAGTTTTCTACACTGTTCAATTTAGTTTTGTCAAACTCAAATGATAGGAACTGGTCATACGTAGTTTATAGGTTTTTTTTTCCCTGCCTAATTTTAAAGAAACTGCCTTTTGGATTAAAAAGTTAAGAATTACAGAAGATCTTAGTAAAATTTACACTTGGAACTCTTAACAAAGAAACATTTACTTTAGTAACTGACATCAGTTGATCATTCAAAAGGGAACTTTCCTGATTATAATACCTCAGGGAATGTTGAGTGTCCAGGAATAGTAAGTGAAACACTAATCAATAAAGCCAGGATGTTTTTTAAGAGAGTACTTGCATAATGTAATATGAATAAAGAATGTATTAAATGGGTTTCTACTTCCCACCATTTGTGAATGTTTGTAAGAAAACAAATGTTTTAGTAAATTTCAGTAGTTAGTGCAAATAGGGCAGTCTTAGATGTTGTAATATTAGGGTTTAAAAGTTGCTTTTTTTGTGCAAATAATAATGAATGGGCTGGTGCTTAGTGTAAATATTTGAGTACAATTAGTTAAAATTCATGTTTGGTCATTATTGAAGCAAACATTTCTTAGATTTGTGTGTTAAACCTATCCTTTTGACACTCGTACAATTGAAGGAACAATGAAATGTAGTGTGAAAATTACTTGTTCAAACCAGGTGTAGATATGTCTTGGTTGCCACTAATAAATGAGTTTGATGGTGTACAGACAACAATTTTCTTCCATATGTAACTTTTTTTTCAGCATGTATACTTATTATTAATATAACCTGTGAATAAACTTGTGTAAAAATGAATGACAAAAAACAGATTAGGCTTCACGTTTACTTTTAATTCTACTTATCACATGTAACTGGGTTATACTGGTTTCAGGGAATTCCACTTATCAGGAACCCAGGAACGTGGCAAATTGAAAGAATAGGACTAGACTTCTTGTAATGGTGGAGTGTATCCGTAGGGCATTTTTAGTTATCTTTTATTTACCACAATGAACCCATATGTAGTATTAATGCTACTAATTTATTCTTCTAAATTATTCAGCAGACAAGATAGTTGAAATATTAAAAAATAAATGTGAAGCTCAATATATGTTATCTACATCATTATAACTTTAATACTTTTTCTTTAAAGGCTATGGCTCGTGATCCTAGAAACTATTACCAGGAAACTCCAAAAACGATTTTCCGAAGGATCCAGCGGTTCAAAAATATTTCTCCACAATGGAATGGATATCTGCGAGCAAAAGAACTTAAAACAAATGAGTAAAATAGTGATATTAATGCAACTTACTGGAATTAGACTATTTTCCACTTGTATTATAGATTTTATTTACATTTCTTGGAATAAAGATGGCTGTGGTGTTATTTTAGTGTCCTCAGAAAATGTTTTTGACTGATTGTCAGCGTAAATTAATTAATTCTACCCCCTTTTTCATATATGATAATGCTATGTAAATTAAATATGCTGTAACTATCACTTGGAAGATTTTTGTAACATTAAACGAACCTAAAGATACTTAACAGTTTTTCAAAAGTTCTTTGTGCTGAGTGAAGTGTTGTGATCACTGATAATAATTTGTTGCTGGAAAAGGGATAATGTTAAAATTATGGCACAAAGTCTGCTTTGGTTTAGCCGATATTGAGTTTGGAACATCTGTATAACTTTAGGAATGAAATATCATATGCCTTAGTAACACCCATTCATTTGTCTGTTGCACACAACCAATAAATCGTTAAATGTGCATAGTTTTTAAGCTGCTACTGACCATAACACAAGTTATCCCCTTCATGTTTCTTAAAATCAACATAATTATCCAGGAATGCAGATCTTTTTGTGTAATTTTTGTTTAATGTTAATTGAATTGTAACTAGATAGCTGTGAATTTTCTTAAACTGAACTGGAAGCATGTGTAAATTGTGAATAGATTACCATTACTTTTCTTAAATTGTCAAGCATGAAGGTGGCATTTCAGAATGAACAATTTTAGTTTTAAAAAATTTTATTCACTTCCACAAAAGTTGCTCTTTGGAAGTGCTTTAGCTAATATGTTCCAATTCATTAGTACTTATTAGTAGCAAATTAATGTAACGTTTACATCAAGTTCAAGTCATCCGAGTTGTCCCTATCTGATTACGTGTTTCCAGGGAGTGTATTCAGGAGTAGTGTCATCTGATTACATGTTTCCAGGGAGTGTATTCAGGAGTAGTGTCATCTGAGTCATCCCTATCTGATTACATGTTTTCAGGAGTAGTGTCATCTGATTACATGTTTCCAGGGAGTGTATTCAGGAGTAGTGTCATCTGAGTCATCCCTATCTGATTACATGTTTTCAGGAGTAGTGTCATC